GGACGAGATGGATCGAGTGACCGTGATGTGACGGCCAGTTGCAGACGATTCCTCTTTACCGGCCCACTGGTTTTACCACCGCGCACCTCTCTGAGGCAAAAGTGGGGCCCTCCAGTGGTCCCACTGACACTTGACCCTTCCACGAGGCGACGCGGTAGAAAACTTGCGGGAATAATTATATTACTGCTTCCGGAAAAGATGCACGCATGCACGGCCTCGTTTTATCGCTGGATCTGAACTTTGCGAATCTTGAAGCGTACAGGGTCAGAATCCGTCGTGCGATTCGCGTGACGTTTTTCTCGGTGCGTTTTCACCGCACCGAACATGGCACTTTCGACGCCTTACCGTTTTGCCTATTAGAAGGTTGTGGTGGTCCCCAGGTGGGCCCTCTTCTTTCCTCCAGTCAACTCGCTCTGCGTTGAAGAACGAAAGGGTTGGATAGATGTATTGCTTCCACCCGGAATCCCGTACGCCTTTCCTAAAGAAGTCCTAAGATCTTATCCAATCACACCAATACAATTCATTGAATCCTAATCTTGACCCTTACTACGACTCGGACATCACATCTCAGCCATCAAGTGGTGTCAGATGAAGGGCGCGTGGTCAAATGGATGGCTGTGATATCATCAGTTGGAGGTGGAATTTCAAGAAGAGTCGGATCCGCACGATTTGGAGATGATCCCTAATGGGTTTACTAGCGTCTCACACCGCTCCGAGGCCCAAGGACACGGAGGACGACGAGCGACCACCGCCACCGCTTCGGTCACACCATGAACCGATCCTGCCCCGAGGCGGAGGAGAGGGACGGCGGGCTGCGACGGGCCGTGACGGAGATCGAGCGTCTTCTGGGCTACGTTTTCCGGGACCAGTCCCTCCTGGCGGAGGCGCTTACGCACTCCTCCTACCCCGATCACCGGTCATACCAGCGTCTCGAGTTCGTCGGCGATGCAGCCCTCAGCCTCGCTATCACCAACCACCTCTACCTCACCAACCCGGACCTCGGCCCCGGACGCCTCTCCGCCCTACGCGCCGCTAACATCTCCACCGAAAAGCTCGCCCGCGTCGCCGTCCGCCACCGCCTCTACCGTTTCCTCCGCCGCAACTCACATGCACTCGATCAAATGGTACTCGCGCCGCCTCACCCCTGCGACGATTCCGACTCGGTGCGATCAAGGCCTCTCACGCTTCACTTTTTCCCCTAATAGGTGTTCGATTTCACGAACTTGGTGATGATGGAGCGGGAGGAAGAAATTGGGTGGGCTCCGTACGGCGGAAGCACCGTCAAAGCCCCCAAAGTGTTGGCCGACATCGTGGAGTCCATCGCCGCCGCCGTCTACGTCGACTGCAATTTCGATCTTGAGTTGCTCTGGAAGGTGAGCTCGACGCGTCATCTTCTTTTCGGTGCTTCGTGTGTCTAATGGCGGGTTGGGCGTAGGTATTCAGGGGGATTCTGGAGCCGATCATCACGTCGGAGAACATGGACGAGCAGCCGGTGACGACCCTCTACGAGCTCTGTCAGAAGCAGGGCAGAAGCATCGAGATCAAAAACTGGAAGAGAGGTTTTGTGAACATCACCAACGTCTTTGTTGACGGAGATCTCATGGGCATCGGTTGCTCGGAGCAGAAGACAATCGCAAAGCTCAACGCTGCGAGAGATGCGCTGCAAAAGCTGTCTACTTTAGAGGAAGCTGACATGGAGGTCGAGTTGAGCTCGGCCGCAGGCAATGGAACTGCAGAGGAGAAAGATGGATCCAAGCAGAAACTAAACCAGTTTTGCAGCAAGAAGCATTGGATAATGCCCATATACAAGTAAGTTCTTCTTTAAGCTTCCTTTTTTTCCTGCCCTAATTGTTATAGTCTACTGAGAATTTATGATTCTGTTCTTGAGGCAATTTTGGGTTCTCAGACATGCTTTTTTCAAGATGTTTTGTGTTGTTTTTCTCTTAAATGCTTTACAATTCTTCTTCCATCACAATAATGTGGTAGTTAATAAACAATGAGTGAATTGGATCATTCCAATTCACTTCTACAACATTGTCCTGATGTGTTGTTATATTTAGATTGAATGTGTTCAAACAATTCTGTGGTTAAGCTTGTTTTCTCAGTTCCTTGTTATAAACTTCAACAACAATGAAATCTTAATTTATACTATCAGTCAAAATATTGTCTTTGTTGGTGCATCCATTCAGAATTCTTATATGCTTCTCTCTTTATCTATTGTCTTATTTACTTTGTGTCCCTTAACATGCATCTAACAAACACTATTGGACGATGTTAAAATAAAAATCCAATGCATACTGAAGTTGGAAAATAAAGTAACCTAGTCGATGCATGTTTACGACATCCTAGTGTTGTAGATCATTTTAATAAATAACATTCTGAGTTTGCATTGAGATGGTGTTTGAATCGTGACATAACTCATAAGCTGACCTTATTAGACCCATAAAACAAAGTAAAAATGAACTTGAGTCATAATTTACGCTTGTATGGGTGTCGATTAACTTGGCAAAATGAGTCGCATTTGTAGTTCCATTTGTGGGACTGAATTCAAACTTATCAAAGATTGGCACATTTATGGGACTTGATTAACTTGGCAAAAACTCAATTTCTCCTCAGAGTGTGAGCTGCATCAAGAAATTTCATATTCAATTATATTAGATTAGAAATGTTCCTTGTCTCAATTATATTTTTCTGGGGTCTCGGAGGATAGCGGAAGAATATGTTTGAGAAAGAGAAGCTGATTGCTACTTCCTTTATTAAGTTTGTAACTGCATTCTATCAGCTTAAGTTGAAGCTCAGTGCTACTAGAATCATGATGATCATACAATATTTAATGGCCCTGTATGAGGAAAAAAATTAGAGTGGCCGCAAGTTATAATTTTCTGCATTTATATAAATTGCAGTGTAGCTGCATCGGGAGTATCTTTATAAAACGGCACTTAAAATATTAGCCAAACTTACTCGAACTTGTGTTGATAACTTAGAATCTTTGGTTCTAGTTTGAGTTTTGTTTGATTTGTTAATTCTTGTTTTAGTTTAGTTGTTCATCACATATGGAACTATCTTTGTGTATGTTTTAATCAAAGTTCGCTGTACCGTATCGTATTGGCGTTTTGACCCGGGCTCGGTATGGTACGATACTGGTGTACCGGGCAGTACATCAGGACATACCGAATATTTTTTTTATTTTTTTCATACTGTAGCAGTGCTACAGTTGGTACTGTAGCACTGTAGAGGTACCGGACGGTCCGCGTACTGTAACCTATCGGACCGGTACGTACCACCCGGTATGGGCGGTATGCTTCGGTACGATAGGCCTTGGTTTTGATCACTTGGGAACTCCGTGTAACCATGTGGAAAGTGGCCTTAGGTTATACATATTATTGGATTTGGAAGTTCTGGTGCTATGGTTTTTATGGTGTATTATCCAGTCATATGTGAGATATGATGGGAAGCCAGAGAAATGATTTTGTTGATATTGTTCTTCAACCTCTTCTTCTTCTCTCTCCTGTGCTTCTTACACTCCCTCTCTTCCTTTGTTTTTCTGTCTTCCTTTCTTTATCTCTCCCTGGTGTCATCAATCTGCAACCTATCCTATACCACCTTTCTTTGCATCTTCACCACCAATCGCTGTCAGCCACTACTGTCCTGCTCTTATCCCTTAATCTTTCTGAAGTGACACTGAGCAGTTCATCACTGGTTCTACCTTGTCTCCAAATAGTAGCTGGCCAAAGTGAGCCTCTCACCAATAGTCTCAAGAGCATGTTCACTATCTTTTTTGGGCCTTCAATCGAGGCCTTTAAAAGGTCCATAGGTTTGGAGAATAGCATTCCTCCAAGTCGTCCGGCATCAGAAATAGCTTTTAGGATTTCCCTTGGTTAAGTTAAAGTCGAAGAAGAAAAAATTGCCAAGTGTTGCAACTCCATTCCACCAGGAGGTGTATGGACATTAGTTCTTGATCATGTAATTGAGGTGATAATGTTTTTTGTTGAACAACTCTGGCATTAAATGGAGACGATAATTAGACCAGAACATATATAACCAATTGTCAGCATGCACCTAACATGTCTGTCATGCACCCAAATAGAAAATTAGTTTTCCCACTTGCTGCATCATATTTCATCAAGTAAGAAAGATGAGTGAAGATCTGTATGGGCAATCATCGATGTAAGAGAAAAAAATTATCCTTAAAATGTATTTATTACCAGTAACAGATGTGCATGCTCATCTTATCTTTTATGTGGTTCTCATTCGCTTCTGTTTTCTTTCTTTCCTCATTCATCAATCAGTTCAGTGATCCTTGGAATGCTCATTATCATCGCTTCATCAATCTTTTATCCTTCAATCATCTCAATAAAAAAGTCTTGAATCTTGTTCTTACTGCTAGAAATCAAAGATTATGTTATCCCTTATCACTGCATTGATGGAACTTGCAGGGTTGAGAAAGAGCAAGGGCCTCCACACAGTAAAAGATTCATATGCTCAGTCCAAGTTGAAACCAAGGGCTGCACCTTCATCACCTTTGGGGATCCAAAATCAAGAGTGAAAGATGCAGAAAATTCAGCAGCATTTAAGATGTTATCGGATATTTTGGTTGGTCGTTAAACAATATATCCATGTAGAAAACCATCTATAAAGTTTAACCCAAATCTAGCTCTACGTTTAGTCAAGTAAATGTTCTCTTTAGCATCGTCTCGTCTCCTGCCATGGTTTACGGTCGTGCTAATCGTCTCGTTTGCTCAGAAAAAAATTATTTTTTTTTCTTGTAAAATATGACATTCGTTCAAACAAACGATAGTGATCGATATTTAAATTTAACTTTTTGTATCAAGCTGATATTGTGAAATTAGTATGGGATGAGATTTGATTTATGCCACAGGTTTGTCAATCTTTGCATCGAACGAGTATTTAAAACCCATTGCCACTCTAAAGTCCTTGCAGCAGCTTTCTGAGACTGGATTTCTTGTGTTGACTTTGAGGCTCCTTCTTCCTAACATCCTGTCGAACCTTTGAAACACTGATTTGCCATACAAAACTGAGGTCAACATCTGTGTCCGGTGTCATGATGCTATTTTACCTAACACTCCCTTGTATGGTTCATCACCTCACCATGTTTCCAGGCTCTCAAACAAAAGAAGGTGGTGATCGTACGAGCCAGCAAGCATGCAGATTTCCTGTGTATATATCGCTACGACACCAGCTGCCTTCTTCATCTTCCACTGATCTCTGAGCCATGGCGATCGCGAGATGCATGTTCGTCGTGGCGGTGGCTCTGGCTCTGGCTCTGGCTGTGGCAGTGACAGTCTCCCTAGCCTCGCCAACAACAACTGCAACAGGAGTAGGTCATCTTCTCGTCGAGCGCAGCCTGAGAGCTGCGGCGACGTGCAGCAAGTTTCCTCGGATGTGCCACGCGAAGGGCAGCCCCGGGCCGGACTGCTGCAGCAGGCGGTGCGTGGACGTGAGGACGGACAGCCTCAACTGCGGGCGGTGCGGCCGGCGGTGCCGCTACGGGTGGACGTGCTGCCGAGGGAGATGCGTGAACATAATGTACGACGCGAAGAACTGCGGCGCCTGCCGGCGCCGGTGCCCGAATGGAAGCTTCTGCAGGTACGGGATGTGCAGCTACGCTTCGTAGAGCGAGTGCTGTCGCCGCTTTCGACCGTACTTACCGTTCTGTTGTCGACTTTGGTTCAGAATAAAAGTAAATTAGAAAAGGAACATTTTAAATAAATAAATTGAAATGGAATGGAATGCCTTCATTTTGATTAAAAAAAAACATATATATAATTATGTGACAATTCATCGTAAATAAATTTGGTAAATTACTTCTTTATTCTATAATAAAAATAAAAAAAATTATTTTGATTTTATGATTTTTATTCTATAATAAAAATAATACAATTTTATGCTGTAATTGTATTATTTATCGATTGTGTAATAGTGCGTAACCACCCAAATGTCCATATCCGATGAAGGAAGACAAATGAGGGTTGATTCTGCTGTCTAGAATGATTCATGCAATCCTACTTTAAGATTTACGACTAATCAAATGGATTTATGATAATAATATTTTTATTTTTCTTTGCCTTTTACAAAGATACACACCATCTGCCTCCTGTTCGTGTGGCAATCATAAACAAGCCGGAAGGTTTGGGTTCTCGATATTGAATGTTTCGTAGGGCGCGGCGCATTGATCAATTCCGATGATGATGGCTTGACGTCGAGTTACGTTGCGGCTGGTCCTTACGATGACGTCCTGAGAAGGCTAATCATTCGCACAGAGAATAAATTGAAGGAGGACACGCCACTCGTTCTTAGAACCACAGAAACCCGAATCACATCGCCATCAATTAAGAATATGTTTCGACAATGACCTGTTGAGCGTAATTACGAGTGACGTGTCACCTAAACTGGAACTGTTCATTTCTATCAACTTTGGACCCCACCAGAGATGATCAAATTGATTCCTTCACTGAATTAATTAAAGAAGTAAATACTGCTTTATTTGAATAAATCCATCCCCAAACCTCATCTCTTCCTTAACGAACTCCATTTCTCCTCGCACCCACCGTCGCACAATGATCACCGCCGCCTTGATATCGAAGCGAAACCCGGAAGGCTCGACATCGGAGAACAAGTGGCGGACCGGCGCTCGAGAGCGAGCCTACCGCCGCCGGCTCCTCGAGGCCCTCTGCCGCGCCCGCGGAGGGAGCGCATCCGGCCCCCGCGCAGTAAAGGAGGCAGCGGACTCCGCCCTCGCCCTCACCGCCCGCGGCCGGTCCCGCTGGAGCCGCGCCATTCTGTTCGGCCGCGGCGGCGGCAATCTCCTCCTCAAGGCCCGCGGCAGTGTTTTGGTCCGCCGAGGGAGGCCACGGATGGTAGCGGCGCCTCGGCCGGAGGGGAAGAGAGTGAGGGACAACCTGCGGACGCTCCGCTGGCTGGTGCCTGGGTGCCGGAAGGTGTCGACGTCAAGCCTCCTGAAGGAGTCGGCGGACTACGTGGCGGCGCTGGAGATGCAGGTGAAGGCTATGCGCGGGCTCTTCGGCGTCTAGCCTCCTGAAGGAGGCCGCGGACTACGTGGCGGCGCTGGAGATGCAGGTGAAAGCTAATCGCGCGATCGTTGACGCCCGGGGCTGCGGTCGAGGGCGGCTACCCGGAGACCCTATATATATATATATATATATATATATATATATATATATATATATATATATATATATATATATATATATATATATATATGGCTCTACAAATTAGCCCAGTAAAAGAAGTATATAAATTTGTAGAGCGCGTGGATTAACAGTAATGTCTTGAGAAGTGATAATGTCAAATAATATAAAATATGGCATACTGGTATTTTGTGTTATTTTGAATATTTTCCCCTTTGATTGTCTAACACAATAAGGTGATCGTGTACATGGCTTTTATTCATTTAGATTTATGCTTTCAAAATTTGGTATTAGATGGAGACTAGTTGGCTAGGATAAATAATAAGAGAACACATTATTATTTAATGGTTGTGGAGTCAATGGTTCTACCATGGAACCAAGTACTCAATTTTATTAAATTCTATTATTGAATTCTAAGGGTAAAATTTTATTATTGAATTTTAAGAATGAGATGCTAACATTTGTATGTAAGATGCTGATTGAGCATGACAAATGATTTTTTAAAACTCTTTTTAATATAATATATGCCTTAGATTGAGCATGAATGTCTAATTATCAAAAAAGATAAAAAGGAATTTCCATTCATAAACAATTAAGTGTAGCCACAATAGAAAATAAAATGAACATGCAGGAGTAAATTCCACCTATTAATCTTAGCAATCAAACATCTGCTTTATCAAAAAGAATAATTTGAAAGCAAAAAATCAAAATTCCAATAGAACAAACAAAATACCAGGAAAAATATGTAGTTTTAGGGGGGAAAACCAGATGCTCTATCAGCTTTGTCTAAAGATATACAAATGCCAATAAAACAAACAAAAACCCACAAAAAGCATTAGGTTTTGGGGGACAAGATTGTCTTCTTGAATATGCTTCATCAGCTTTGTCCAAAAATAAGATTAAACCACAGGAGATATAATAGTGTATTTAAATAAGTCAATTAAGAATTTATCAAAAACAAATTTCCACATAGAATAGTGTATTTATATAAGTCAACTAAGAATTTTTTGAAACCAAATTTCTAAGTGACTCCTCTTTCTGATAGTGTTTGCTGCCTCCTTCCCCCCTCTAGTTCTCAGACTGCCCAAAGTATTTTATTTTGCTTAATAATCTCAACAAAAAGAGATATTCTACTGACCAAACAATGTCCACAAGGATATCATTATACTAGTTTTAAGCCATAACCATAGACTAGAGGCTACAAACAGGATCAGGGCACTACCATAGTGACAGCTTTAAACAATTTATATTACTATTACTATTAACAAACCATTTAATTTACTCTTTCTTTTGCTGTTAAAATTTATAAATACTTCAAATAGACAATTACTTATAACCTGAACCAACTCCACCTTAATGATTGCTACATCTTTGGGCTGTCATTTCATTGAGAATCATATGGTCTGTATCCAACTCCCTAATTCATTTGCATGTTCAAAAATGTTAAAGAAAGGGTTTTCCAATCTAGTCGAGCTTGTTTTCCTATTAGAAAAATCATTAAACAAAGAAAACAATTTATTCTCTGAGGGAATAGAATGTACTAAAAATTTGGTGTCCTGTTAGGAGTAGGCCATTGTTCATCCTAATAAAAAAGATTCTTGAGGTGCTAGTGTTTCCCTAGATGGTATGTTTCTGGGAATCTTATGTTATAATTACGCTAAAGGAGAAGATGAATAATTCTTCTTATTAATCTATACTCTTTACTCTTACTATTGAACTCAGAAGCAGCCCATAATTCCACAAAGTGGCATGCAGCAATAAAACCAGTATCTGCAAATAGAGAAGTGTATCTCACCAGAAGAGTCAAACGAATAGCATGAATCCCTTACAGTCCCCTCTCCACCTAATGCAAGATTAAATGGTGAACATGCCTAAAAAAGACAACGAGTTGCAAAATTTAGCATGATGCTAATCCACAAAGAAACTGGGAGAGAACATTTCACCTTTTTAACAAGAACAAGCTTCCCAAATCCACTAGATGGCCTTCGAAGCTTGTCCGATTTCATCAAGTAGAATCTAGCATAGCAGCACTGTGCAGCTACATGACATCAAGAATACCATACAGGCATCACTATTGCAAAGGAAACACTAAAATTAAGATGATAACTGTCTATGGTTAGCTCAAGAGAGTTGCGGTCCATGAGGATCTGAAAGATGGCATCAAACAATCTCGTTCGCAGGAGCAAATCGAAAACCAACATGAGAACTATATATCGGTACATAGACGGGAGGGACCGGAAGGAGATGGTACCAATAGGGAGCCGAGGCGACTCGGTCGCGAGGTAGACGGATCGAACAACATCCAAGAAACAGAGCCCTGAAAGGGGAGAAAGGAGAAGAAGCAATCATAAGGCGTGGGGGAGATAGTGATGATGGGAAGGGGGTGGGATCAGAGTATGAGCCTTCGTGGACGGAATCCTTGATGTCGGAGGAATCGAGCACAGCCATGGTGTTCTCTTATCACACATCGGTGTTGGTTACTGCTGCTGTTGGAGGAGGAGGAGGAGGAGGAGGAGGAGGAGGACGAGAGGAGGAAGGAGAATTAAAGAAGAAAAGAACCCTAATTTAATTCGACTGACGAGAGGGAATATGGCAACTAGGTGGATTATAAAGGAAAGAAGCATCCGCGCCAAAACAGGCACAAAATTATCTCCAAGTAAAAAGAAATTCCGTTGCCGGGACTCGAACCCGGGTCTCTCGGGTGAGAGCCGAGTATCCTAACCAACTAGACTACAACGGAGTTACATTTGGTTGACAATATCTTAAATTAATAACTAAATTCTCAATGGATAAAGGACCACAAAATTCCATCAACCGGTAAATTCTCATCCTAATGTCTCCTCGTCGCATCTTAGGTGTTCACGTGGCAGATCGACAAGAGAGGTCCACTGGGGGGATGTTTTGTCAGGGGTAATATGACTTTAGAACAGAAAGGTCGAATCGAGGAACAAGGGTCTCTCTTATTGCGGGATCATCTCATGGTGACAAGATCATCTCTTAGCCATCGATAGTCTTGCATAACAAGTCTACGTCAAGGGCTTTCCGGCTTAACCCCTCCGATACTTAAGTTAGCGCATTGCGGAGAGGGAGGAAGACAATAATATAAGCTATGTAAATAAGAGAGTAGAGAGTAGAGAGAGTATTTACCTATTTTTTCAGCTTAACTTAGGGCGTGGCTTTTATACTTGAGCGAATAATCTGGTCATGTATTAGCCAAAGTCCCTCGTACTCTAAATGATAGAGACATTAATGAGGATAACTTGTTATCAGTTATTAATGTAGAGGCATAGCTTGATATGTTAGCCAAGAGGTGTTTAGGGAAGTTGAGACGTGTTGTTATTAATGTTTGTTGGTTCCCATGTCTTTATTGTTTATTAGTTCACATAGAAGAGGGAGCTGGAGAGTACCAATATTATTCTTATCATTAAGAAAAATTGAGGTATGCTGTCATTACTGATCATTGGTTCCATGCCTTTATTGTTTGCTAATCCACTTAGTGGAGGGAGTTGAAGGGACTAATATTATCCCCATCAACCATCCTCTCCAAAAACCCAAGTGACAAAGGGCTTTGGTTGCTCAATCAATCGAATTTATCTTTAATTTTATAAGATAGGTCAGTAATTAAAGGATATTAAAAATGAGATCGGAGGAAAGTAGTCAGATCGTTACTTATAGTCCCCTTTGTTAGAAGTATTACGGAGAAATCGATCCTTTAAACATTTCGAATGCCAACATTGAAGTTATACAAAAGAAGCTTCAATCCTTCTAAATATGACTATATTTACTTTACAAATATTGTTACATATTCTCTTATATGCTATACGTTCTCAATAACTCTATGAGGTATGATAAGAGAATAGTTCTCTAAATCGCCCCATAGAGTCGGTCTCTTCTTTTAGTCAACTTGTCAAGAAATCAACTTTATTAATTATAAAGTACCTATAATCTCCCTCCAAAATGTTATATAAAATAATTCAATAATAAAATAAGATCGATTGCATCCAAACTCATATGTTATAATTAATGCTTGTATTGATCACCTTTAACTTTTTAAGTTTTTATACTCGATCATCTCTAACTATATTCCAAGAATTATTATAAAAAATAACTTGACATAAATGAATTTATTATTATTAAGAAGAGAAACTACATATCGGTTCATAGACGGGAGGGACCGGAAGGAGAAGGTACCAGTATGCCAAAACAGGAACAAAATTATCTTCAAGTACAAAGAAATTCCGTTGCCGGGACTCTCGGGTGAGAGCCGAGTATCCTAACCAACTAGACTACAACGGAGTTACATTTGATTGGCAATATATTAAATTAATAAGTAAATTCTCAATGGATGAAGGGCCACAACTACTATCAACCGGTAAATTCTCATCCTAATGTCTCCTAGGTGTTCACGTGGCAGATCGACAAGAGAGGTCCACTGGGGGGATGTTTTGTCATGGGTGATCTGACTTTAGAACAGAAAGGTTGGGTTGAGGAACAAGGGTCTCCCTTGTTGCGGGGTCATCTCATGATGACGAGATCATCTTTTAGCCATCGATAGTCCTGCATACCAAGTCTACGTTACGGGCTTTCCGGCTTGACTCCTCCGATGCTTAAGTTAGCACAATACGGAGAGGGAGGAAGATAATAACATGAGCTATGTAAATGAGAGAGCAAATAGTAGAGAGAGTATTTGCTTACTTTTTTAGCTTAACTTAGAGCGTGACTTTTATACTTGGGCGTCGACCGATCTGATCATATATTAGCCAAGGTCCCTCGTACTCTAAATGATAGAGACATTAATGAGGGCAGCTTGTTGTCAGTTATTAATGTAGAGACATAGCTTGATATGTTAGCCAAGAGGTGTCTAGGGAAGTTGAGGCGTGATGTTATTGATGTTCACTGTTCCCATGCTTTTATTGTTTATTAGTCCACATAAAAGAGGGAGCTAGAGAGTGTCAATATTCTTCTTATCATTCATGAAAATTAAAGCATGCCGTCATTGATGATCACCGGTTCCCATGCCTTTATTGTTTGCTAATCCACTTAGTGGAAGGAGTTGGAGGGACTAATATTATCCCTATCAACCATCCTCTCCAAAAACCCAAGGGACAAAGGGTCTTAGTTGCTCAATCAATCGAACTCATCTTTAATTTTATAAGATATATTAATAATTAAAAAATATTTATTTTGAAAGTAGTCACATCCTTACTTATATCAATTTTTTGAAAGATTTATTTGAAAAGATGATTTCTTTTGTAGTTATTTTTCAAAGGTTATGTCTTTTAAAAAAAATCTATAAATAGGTATTCGAGAGTAAATAATAAATATATCTCTTTCATATTCTTCTTCTTTACTTTCCAAGGGATTGAATTAGATATTCTCTAATTTCTTTTTGAAAGATTCTTTATTATTTGTTTAATATAGATCTTTTAAAGACTTGTCATATTCACTAAAACTATTTACATCAAACCTATAATAATCAGAAGAGAATATAAATATAAATTTTAGGAAAGTGTTTTAGGAGAACAGAGAAAAGCAACCATAGGGGAGAAAGGAGAAGAAGCAAGCCAGCCATAAAAACAAATTCCGTTGCCGGGACTCGAACCCGGGTCTCTCGGGTGAGAGCCGAGTATCCTAACCAACTAGACTACAACGGAGTTGTCTATTATTAACAAAAATAAAATAAATTATTTTAGTAAGATATCTCCCCTATTGATTTATCACAAGAAAATAACCCACCTCACGGGCCACATCACCATTCTCTCCGATAGCTCAAGTGATAAAAGGGCCATAAATATCATTAACCAGTGAGTCAGTCCGGTTGGTTCATTATCGAAGGTGTAAGCTCACCCTAGTGTCTCATCCTTACTGATGTCGAGTGTTGATGTGATGGACCGACGAGAGAGGTCCACCGGGGGGACAATTCATCGAGGGTGATCTGACTTTGGAACGAAGAGGTTGGATCGAGGAACGAGGGTCTCCCTACTGCAGGGTCATCTCATAGCGATAGGGTCGTCTTTTAGTTATCGCTAGTCCTACATAATAGGTCTATATTAGGGGCTTCTCGGCTCGATCTCTCAATTGTTTAAGCCAATAAGAGAATAGAGAGAGTATTTGTCTGCTTCTTGAGCTTGATTTAGGGTATGACTTTTATACCTATGAGCCGAGAAGTCTAGTCATGTATTAGCCAAGGCCCCCTTACTCTAAACGACAAATGCATTAATGAGGATAGTTTGCTGTCAGTCATTAATATAGTGGCATAGCTCAAGATATCAGCTAAGAGGTGTCAAGTTGAGGCTTTTTGTTATCAATGTTCGCTGGTTTAGAGTACCAATATTATCATCTTTATCATTCAGGAAAGTTGAGATATACTGTCATTAATGATCACTGATTTACATGCCTTTATTGTTTGTTAATCCATGTAATCGAGAGAGCTCGAGGGTATTAATATTATCCCCATCAACCATCCTCTCCAAAAGCCCAAGGCATTAAGGGGCTTGGTTGCTCAATCAATCGAACTCCCTCTACATATTCGCCTTCAATTTTATAAGATAGATCAATAATTAAAAGATATTAAAAATAAAATTAGACAAGAAAAATAGCCAGGGATCGATCATTACTTATAGTCCCCCTTTATTAGAAGTATTATGGTGGAATCGATCCGTTAGATGTTTCTAATGGCAACATTAAGTTATATGAAAGAAGCTCAAATCCTTTTCAAAATATATGGTTATATTTACTTCACAAATGATATTGTTTGGGACAACATACTCTCTTATTTACTACACATTCTCAACAACAGATATTCTCTTCGAAGAATCCATGATAAATTATATAAAATAATTCAATAATAAAATAAGGTCGATTGTCAACCCCAAGCTCATATATTATAATTAATACTTGCATTCATCACTTTCAACTTTTAAAGTTTTTATACTTGGTCACCTCCAACTATATTCTCATAGTTACTATAAATTTTCCCAATGTCAATAAACGAATTTAGACACCTAACATTAAAAAGGCAACCAACTAGGAAGTCGACTTATAAGTATTTCCTTTCATGCCATGCCATGCCATGCCAATTCTGATGCTTCTCACATTAACTGAAATGTGTTTTGAAAAACTCATGCTACAACACTGCACGTTCTTTGTTTCTGCTGCAAGCTTCTACACAGGAGATGAGGAGGTGTTACCAAGGGTGTTGTAAATCTACTAGAAAACAGATTGGGTTTTCGATTTTAGTTTTGTGAAACATGGCACGAGGACGACAGGCTCAACAAAGGAGATGATAGAAATGCTAAATGATGTCGTCGTCTTCTGAGTTAATGGAAAGCCTTTTTCTGTTTCGGGAAAAATAAAATAAAAAAGAAAAATAAAAAGGCCCAATAAATTGGCCTCCATTAAAAAGGAGGCGAAGGTCAAGAAGAGGCCAAAACAAACCTCACCAAATTACTTGTCCTCCCAAGACCCCTCCCCAGCGACTCAAGAACCCGCTCGAATGACGGTGATCCCGGCTCCACCGCCGCCGTCGATCTTCGCCGTCGCGGCATCCCCCGGCCGCCCCCGCCCCGCCCCCTCCTACGTCGCCGCTCCGCCGCCCCTCTGCCTGTTTTCCGGCCACCGCCTCCTCTCCCCCCTCCGCCTTGCCGTCTCTTCCCGCCTCCACTTCTCCAAGCCCTCCTCCGGCGCCAACGGGTCTCTCGAGGGCTCGTCGTCGTCCTCCTCCTCCGGAAGCGGCGGCGAGCTCCACCCCGCCCTCCCCCCGCCACCGCGATCCGGTCAGGGCGCGCGGGTGTTCGTCACGCTCCCGCTCGACGCCGTGGGGACCTCGGGGCAGATGGCGCGCAAGAAGGCGATGAGGGCGTCCTTCATGGCGCTTTCGGCGGCCGGCGTGGAGGGGATCGCGGTGGAGTGCTGGTGGGGGATCGTGGAGAGGGAGGCGCCGGGGGTGTACGACTGGGGCGGGTACATGGATTTGGTCATGTTGGCGCAGCGCTGCGGCCTCAAGGTGCGAGCGATCATGGCTTTTCACCAGTGGGGGACGGGCCCCGGCGACCCTGGCTGGTCTATCTCCGATCCTACTCTCTTGAATTCTTGATTTCCTTTTTGCATCTTACTCTACAATTCTTGCATTTCAAAACCTAGTGTCCTCTAATGTGCTTTCAGATAAGAGTGTTGTGTGGTTTTTCGCGTTCAGCATATCTGGGTTTCTTTCACGTGCTTTAAGCTAACTGACATGCTTAAATCAATGGTGAAAACCTATTTTACATTTCTTAAAATGCTGTAGCATTAATGGCTCATTTCCTAGTTACTATACTTGATACAAGTATGCACGTCCACATCCATTTATGATGTAATTGTAATGTCATGGTTAGATTAGAGAAGCAGCTGCTGTAACTTTCTTGAAAAATAAACTCATACTTAATTTGCATGCAGACAAATTATCTTGTCATCGCTCATGCATGTATATGTTGCATATGATGCATGCATAATCTACCAAAAAAAGAACAAGATTTCCTTTGTCTTTTCTCACAACCTTAAAGCAAGGAATTCATTTCTTTACTATGTATCTTAGTAAGGCACTAAACTAGATAATCAAGAAATTTAAATTTATGCTACTTGTATGAAGAACAGTGGCAAGAAATCCGTTTTAGAAAATTAACGATCATTTGGTTGTTGAATAAGCTGAAACCAATCATATACCAAAATAAAATCCGGTACAATTTTGGGAACATTGAGTCCGATATGTTGATAGCTTTAAGCTGCAGTCTCGGTGCAATCCAGTCCTAATATTTGGAATTATTTTTTCTTGAAAATTTATTCTAGTACAAATAGTAAATGCTTTGCAAATGCAGTTTTACATTTATATGAGAAAAACTTCAGTAGTGTCGGCTTAGTAAGTGTAAAAGCACTGTGTATTTATTATCATTCTTAAGTATTCTTACAGCATGAGTTTCTCATCATTTGAAATAAGATGATGGATTGGCTGACATTATCCATGTATTGATATTGGAACCCACTAGGCTTCAAGGATTGTTTGGTGTTTAACAAGTTAATAAAGAACAAATAGGCTAGCTTAGCTGAAAACTTGGACTAAAGTTTTGTTTGACTGAGACAAAAGACAGTGCAGTGTGTTATAACTTTGTGAAACCACTTTCAATGAGGTTTTTTTGCTGAATTTTGGGTGAAAGAGATGATCTTTTGTTGGCATTGCATTCTATAAAGAAAATAGCTTGGGTTTAAGTGTATTGGGTCACTTGGTTTTAGGCCTATTAAGTTAATGGATTGATTTCCTTGTAAGGTTAGGTGAACAATAATAAATGCAGTTTTGTTTAAGCAGGCACCAATCCAGGTGTTGACTGGGGCACAAGTCACCCCTTTTTGGTCGGTCCAAGTGCAGTACTGGGCTTTCTACCCTGTTAGCCCTATGAACCAGGCATACTGCCTTGTAAGCCCGGGCTTATTGTCAGCATTGGCCCATGCCCAGCATTGCACTCCCCTTCATTCTCTCCTCCATTGTGGTTCCTCCTCATCTTCTTCTTCCTCCTCCTCCTCTTCTTCTTCTCCTTCTCCCCACCCCCCCTCCCCTCTCCTCCCATCTCCCCACCCCTCCACCCCTTCTTGTTACCATGGTACCTGTCGACATATCATGTGTTGATACTTTGGCATGGACGAGAAGTGTACTGTGCCGGTATCGGAACTATCAATGTTTGGGTCCATGGTGTGAGTTATCATTGGACTGGGTTTCGCTTGTTATCTATCATGCATGGTTCTCGGTTACGAGTTGGATTTTAAGCTTTGGCGAAGTCATCGAACTTTTGTTAGTGAAAGATTGTGACATAGTCTCACGTTGGAAGTAACAGGATCTAATGTAAATAGGCTTAAGCATTTTGGAGCACGCGGTTTGGGTCTATCATGTTAATTGGTCGATTATCCTATCAGGCTACATCATGGCTGTTAATATTGGGCAGTGATTTTGGCGCCAAGGTCTAAAAACGTTCGAGATGCTAGGCGCTTGCCCGAGCGAAGCGATGCGCTAAAATATAAAAATATACAATATAATTACTAAATATAATTATTTAAATAAAAATATGATATTAAATTAAGAAAATCTTGTAAAGTTACAATATCACATTAACAAAAAGTCTCAAAATTCAAAACAATAACAATAATTTCAAATAAATAAAAATTAATAGTATTAAAATAAAAAATAATATATTATTAATCTAATAAATAGGAATACTATTATTAGTATACAGTTAGTAGTATACTGTTAATATACTATTAACAGTATACGAAGTGAGAAGAGTGTGAGTAAGAGGAAGATCGAGACTGCTGACTGAGAGCAGTGACAGTGGTAGCAGCGAGCAGCGGGAGCAGCGAGCGATGACAGTGGCAGCAGCAGCGGTAGCAGTGAGCAACGACAACGGGAGCGGCGACAGTGGCAGCGATAGCGGTAGCAGCAAGAGCGGGAGCGGCGAGCAAGGTTAGGGTTGGGAAGTCACAAGAGGAAGGCTGATATCGGTGCTTTAGTTGGTTCGATTGAACCAACTAAAGCACCGGAGACCAAACCAGACCTAAAATGCTAGTTCAGTCGCCTGGTTTAACCCGGGCAATCGCCCGAAGCGCTCGGCGCCTGGGCTTGGGCGAGCGCCCAAGCGGCGCCTCTTTGAAGCGCGTCGCTTGGAAATGAAGCGAGGTGCTCTGGCCTCGCCTCACCTCGCCCGAGCGCCTATTGAAATCACTGATATTGGGGGATTGTTTAAAAAATGTTTTTGAGGTTTCATAGATGTCTTACTCATTTCATATATGTGCCTAAAATTCTACGAATTTCTAATAGGATGGTATTGACTGTATAAAGTGCAAACAGCAGTGGATGATATTTAAAACAATTGTTTTATTTGAAGTTGCATTAACTATGCTGCAGACTGACTATAAAATAGAAATAAGTTTACTGCATCAACCAGAAGGAAGTTTGATATGTGAATTTGCATTTTGTTTAAAGATTCTGATGATAATGATACATTGTTTAGCATTTTGGCATCTGTTCTGTCAATCTTGGCTTTGCTTTCTGGGTACTAAAATTATCTTCCCTTATAAAGGATACCTCTCCCGAGATGGGTACTTGAAGAAATGGACAAGGAGCCAAATTTGGCTTTTGCCGACAGGTTTGGCAGAAGGAATAAGGAGTACATCTCTTTGGGATGTGATGTTTTTCCTGTTCTAAGGGGACGATCTCCAATCCAGGCTTATTCAGATTTTATGAGGAGTTTCAGGGATACATTCAGGGACTTCTTACGAGTTGTAATAACAGTAAGATTTTATGACTGACTTTTATGTGCCTGCTTCTAGACTTTTTCTCATTGATTATTTACTCAATTCATCTTATTCTGCATTTTCGCAGGAAATTCAAGTTGGTATGGGCCCTGCTGGTGAACTTAGGTATCCTTCTTGCCCATCTGAGAAGTTAATTCGGGCAAGGGCTGCAGCCGAGCTAGGAGAATTTCAGTGTTATGATAAGGTCAGAGAGCAGTCAGCTTTTGTGAACACTAGTACTATGGCTTTTGATGTTTCATAGTGTTCTTAGTAATATGGTTTTTGATGATTTAGTTTCTTGTCTCTTCCTTAGTATATGCTGGCATCACTAAGCGCTTGTGCTCAAAAAGTTGGCATGGATGAGTGGGGATATGGTGGCCCTATTGGTGCGAGTAACTTCCCACAGAACCCCGAGGAAACAGCTTTCTTCAAAAGTGATGGTTCTTGGAACACCCCTTATGGACAGTTTTTTCTTGAATGGTACTCAGGGTTGCTTCTTCTTCATGGAGAGAGGTTGTGCATGGTGGCTGATGTAATTTTTTTGGGCACTGGTGTTCAGATCTCTGCAAAAGTTGCTGGCATACACTGGCACTACAGCACAAACTCACATCCATCCGAGCTAACTGCTGGTTATTACAATACCCTTATTCGAGATGGCTATCTCCCAATAGCCCGCATGTTCAGTCGGTACAGAATGACGCTGTGCTGTATGTGCTTCGATATGCGAGACTCAGAGGAAAGTAGCAATCCAAGGAGTAGCCCAGAAGGATTTCTCAGGAAGCTTATATATACTGCTAGGATGTGTAAACTGCCCCTTACTGGTGAAAACTCTTTTGCTAGGTTGGATGAGGCATCTCTGGATCAGGTTGTAAAGAACTCCAAGCTTTACTACGGTGGTGTTTATGAGGCCTCATTATCTTTTAACTATGTCAGAATGAATAGAAATCTCTTCGACTCTCATAATTGGAACCGCTTTACCAGATTCGTGAAGCGGATGTCAGATATCCAAACCTTTCGGGCCAGATTAGATCTCCGAGGAACTGAATCTTTTCTCTCTTCTACTTCTTTTGCTGAGGATGTTGGACGAGCTTTGGTGTGTCACTGATAAGCTCTTTCCTAGCAACTTTGATTTTCTCTTTTAATTTTTGTGAACACAACCGAAACGTGGAATCAAGTACACAAGTGGACAATTTGTGGCACCTTTTTTGTTGCCAAAAAGACAATAATGTCTGTGCTGCCTCCTCCCATGTGTGTGTCCGTAGGTTTCATGTATATTCCAATCCATCCAATTCATGGTTTGGTTCTTTTTTTTTCTCTTTTGACCCTTTGTTCTACTGGAACCAGACTTTGGAAGTTCGAAGTTTTCAATACACAAGAACTGCTTTTTCATGAAACTTTTAGAATCATGGTGTGGCATTATCTCACCTTTAAATCCTTCACATCTTGTTTATTTCATTATATTTGAAATTTATGAGTGTTCAATCTAGGTATAATCTTTGTGGCTTCCTATCTAATGCTTCTACTACTGCATTAGGCATGTGTTTAATCACAATTTTCATATACTTAGTGAGGCGAACTATGCATATTTAATTTCCACCTGGTTAATTCCTGGTCCCTCTGGTGTTTTTTACAAGGCATGCAAGCATGGCCAACAATTAGTATGTATAATTTATCTGTTCTAAGTCGCATGATGTGTATTTATATTATCTGAGAGATGTCTAAGATGCATAACTCACATTTGTGTTGTCACAGTTTATATAATCTGTTACTAATTAGTCTATTTCTAACTTCACTGTTCTTTTTTTTTTCCCTGATAGAATTAATTGATGCTAAAGATAATAATATTTCAGTGAAGACAAATAAATCTCAAAGGTAGAAGAGAGTCTCCTCCATCATCATGGGGCGATCGTTGGGGTGGGAAATGACGCGGAGGATAAATCAAGAATTATATTTCAGTTGGCGATTTATTTTTTTGGTTATATTTCTTATATGAGAAAATGAATTAACTCACTAAGGAGGAAAAAACAAACTCTAATTTAGAAATTTTAAATTTTCTATAAAAAAATGAATTAAAGATTCGGTGATTATATATATAATACGAAAAATTGTAAGGGCGAATACACCGTTTCCAAACTTGGCAAGGATTTATCTGCAAAAAGGCCCAACAAACATTGGGCCGCTTCAAGACTGGCGTGCCGATCTCGTGGTTTGCCGCTCCGTTCGCCACCGCGTTCCCTTTCACCAATCTGCTAAACCCTGACCTTAAATCTTCCGACTCTTTGCCTTTTCTGCCCCTCCGTGGCGCCCGCGGCGGCGGCGGCGGCGACGGCGCGCCTCACCATCATCCACGCCATCCTCCCGCCCAGGTCCAAGGCCAGCAAGCCTCCTCCCTCCGATCCCCAGTCCCAGTCCAAGAAGAAAGCCTCCGCCAGGTTGCCAGTTGGAGAATCGCCAATCCCAAGGATGTGGTGAAGCGCGATCAAGAAGTCTATGTGAAGGTGATTTCGGTGTCAGGGCAGAAGCTTGGCTTGTCCATGAGGGATGTGGATCAGAGGACTGGAAATGATCTACTCCCAATGAAGAAGAGCTATGAGGATGGGGCGTATAGGGTAAACCTAGCAAACGGCGATGGTGGGCGAATGAGGAGGTTGGGCCTTTTGGGGATATTACAATAGTCGAGGAGGATGAGGGTGGACCATCGAGGCGCCTGAGAGGTGGGAGGCAAAGCAGCTTATTGCTTCTGGGGTCTTGGATGTCCGGGATTACCCGATGTTTGATGAGGATGGAGATGTGCTCATGTATCACTAATGGCGAGCTGAGGAGGAGATCGAGATTGAGCTTAATGAGGATAAGCCTGGCTTCTTTCCTGGCAGCTTATGAAGCGTAGGCTGGATCTTCGGTTGATTGTCACCTCTGCAACACTTGATGCAGATAAATTTTCCGGTTACTTCTTTAACTGCAAAATTTTCACTATTCCTGGAAGAACTTTTCTGGTGGAGACCCTTTACACCAAACAGCCAGAAACTGATTACCTGGATGCAGCATTGATCACTGTTTTTAGCAGATCCATTTGACAGAACCTGAAGGAGACATACTTCTCTTTCTGACTGGCCAAGAGGAGATTGATCATGCTTGTCAGTCTCTATACGAGAGAATGAAAGGATTAGGGAAGAATGTGCCTGAGTTAATAATCTTGCCAGTAAACATTGCGCTTCCCAGTGAAATGCAGTCGAGGATTTTTGACCTCGCTCCTCCTGGTAAAGAGGAAAGTGGTTGTGGCTACTAATTTGCAGAGGCTTCCTTGACAATTGATGGGATCTTTTATGTTGTTGATCCAGGTTTTTTGTAAAACAAAATGTTAACAATCCAAAGCTAGGGCTTGACTCGCTGGTTATCACTCCGTTCCCACAGGCATCAGCGAAGCCGCGAGCAGGTTGTGCAGGGCATACTGGTCCAGGGAAATGTCACAATGAGATGTCTCCAATAACAATTCCAGAAATCCAGAGGATTAATCTTGGGTTCACGACTCTTACCATGGGGCTATGGGAATAAATGACCTTATGTCTTCTGATTTTATGGATCCCCCATCTCCTCAAGCGCTCATTTCTGCTATGGAACAGCTATACTGTCTTGGAGCTTTGGGTGAGGAGGGCTTCTGACAAAATTGAGTAAAAAAATGGCTGAGTTCCCTTTGGACCCACCATTGTCGAAAATGCTTCTGGCTATTGTGGACCTTGGATGCAGTGATGAGATTTTGGCTATTATAGCAATGATTCAGACTGAGAACATCTTTTATAGACCAAGAAAGAAACAAGCCCAAGCAGAGCAGAAAAGAGCAAAGTTCTTTCAGCCTGAAGGAGATCATTTAACACTACTTGCTGTATATGAGGCGTGGAAAGCTAAAAACTTTTCTGGGCCATGGTGCTTTGAGAACTTTTTAAGAGTCATGCTTGCTTAGGTGGGCACAGGATGTGAAGAAACAGCTTCGTACTATCATGGACAGGTATGGTATTTCCTTTCTGTAATATACTCATTAGATTGCTTTATGGATTTATGTTGGTTCTCCACAAAATGCCTATCTCCAGTTCTGTTATTTGTTTCCAGTTGCATGTACCTTCTAGCATCCTTTACATACATTTCTTGTATTGTGGTCTACATTACAGATATGCTTTTTCTCTCTGGTTTGATGAAGTTGTCGCATTGCATAAGTTGTGCATGCTGTGTTTGTTGGTTATTTATATTTTACATCTGCATGTATAATCAAGTGCTTCGAATAGGTTTCAGATTGACATCTTTTGATAGCTGGAAATATTGCACCCTGCTGCATGTATATGTACTTTGTAAATGTTCAATATTTTATATTACCTAGTGCAGAACTATTGCAAGAATTCGCTAGATTTTAATCACTATTGCTGATAAATCTTCTGGTCATTGATTGATCCAAGAGATCTTTATATGGGATGTCAATGATAGATCATTTACTTAGTTTATCAAATTCCCAAAAATGCCAAAATAAGAGCCTGAAATTGCTCATCCACATACAAACCATTATTTTCACCCTTCCAAAACTTCGAGATGGTTGGCAGCAATATTTGCTTCTCCCAGAGAGAAGACGGGAAATCTCAAATGTCAGCATTCATAGAGAAGTTCTACTTCTTATCCACGCCCTTGCTTAACTTAATAAAAGATTAATAAAGGAATCAAATGTCACTGTTTTGAAGAAATATTTAATTTCATAAAGGACCATAAAAACTATGCAGACATTCAGCTAGAACCCTCAGACCAAGTTCGTAATTCCTTTTATTAGTTTGGCTAAAATATCAAGTAAAAACCTTTTTTTGCAAAGGAGAATAGGTTCTTTTGTCTGAATGTTAGTGGCTGACTGATATATACTCTTGAAAGATTATAAATGATAATGTCTTATCTAAGTCTTTATTAGGCAATCTTAGATGTTCATTATGTATGATTCTTTTGAAATATTGGTAAGTGATATATTTTATGCTTTCATATCTGATTCAGTAACCCGAGTAATAGAGTGAAGAACAGCTTTGTTTGGCAATGAGAATTATTTTATTTAGCAAAAAGTCTTGCTGATTTTACCAACTCTGTCCTCCTTTGCAAGATCAATTACTGTAGGTTCAGGATATTATTCAAGTTCTGGGTGTATTATGAAGATTGCTACCTTTTCTTTTGAACTTCAGAGGGAAACCTATGTATCTGTCCTTAATGCATCTATGTTTTAGGTTAACTAATAATTTGAGGTTGCGTGAGAAACATCTGATTCATTCTGCAGTCAAACCTTGAAGAGTTGACTGATTTCTTAAATGTAAAGAGAAACTTGTTTAAAACTTTAGGTAAATCACTGATGAATGTATGTCATGATGATTTCTTGTTGGCTCCTTGGACTAGCTGCTAACTCTCTTGATCTACTTTGAAAGAGTGAATTGAATTGATCTTTGGCAATCAGAATCGAAGGGAAAGTGCCAAAATATCTGGATGAAGATGTCTAAGATGTTAGGCCAGTTGGCATGGGTTGACAGTGTCATTGCCTATCCTGTTGGATGCTTAACTTTGTACCAGATTGCTCACCTGTTCATGTTACTATGAATTAATTACTTGAGTGCGCACGGAAAAGCTTCTGAAAGGCACTTTGCAATATTTTACATGGCATCCTGTCTTGGATTCTTTTGTTGCATTCTGCCTTGGATTGAATGCCACAGGTTCCAAGTAGCTGTTTAAATTCAAATCTTCATGAAAAGTTGCACTTCTGTTGTCTTATTTTTATGAAAGGGCAGAGAATTATATAATGACACTCAAGCAAGTCATTGATATCTCTAAGTTCAATTTGAAGTGGTCTATGCAAATAGTTATCAACCGCTAGTGTTAGCTAATAGTTGTGATCAAACTGCTGGTAGTTATATAGGGAAATCATGTAATTCTTGCTAACGCTGAGTCTGAAATTATGCTGCATTTCTTTTTATTTTCATGGCTTGTCCCAGGTTTGCATGATCAGTTTCATTCAGGCTGAATTTTTGTTGTGTCCAACCCATCACTCAATCCAACATCTAACCCTCATCAACCCCTGATTTCAGGCATAAGCTGGACATCGTTAGCACTGGAAAGAACTTTACAAAGATACGGAAGGCAATTACCGCCAGGTTCTTCTTCCATGCAGCAAGGATGGACCACCAGGAAGAGTACAGGACCCTAATCGAGAACCAGTTTGTATATACTCACCCAAGCAGCGCTTTGTTCCAAAGGCAGCCAGACTGCTTTATATATCACGACAGTCATCAACCCCAAGTGGCTGGTAGAATTGGCTCCAAGATTTTACAAGTATGCAGATCCAACAAAAATCAGCAAGCACAAGTGACAGGAACGGATCGGAC